TTTTCCAAGGGCTCCATCAAAGCAAGAAAGAAATTAATACATCTAACACAAGTTTGGCACACTACTCCTGCAGGAGTATTACTCTTAAAATATGTTAAGATTCTGTATCAGATCACTGAATATTGACCTTAAAGAAAATTGAACACTAAGGTTGTGGGGAAATTTGGAGGGAAGCAAAACAAACATGTAGATTACACATAACAATACTTCAAGAAAAAAGTTATAAAAAAAAAAGATGGAAACTTACAGTCTGATAGTCTCTGTTATGAATAAGACCAAATGAATAAAGCCTAGTCACGTACGGACGTATTACTTCCAACAGCCGACTATTTATCTCAATAACATCTTGCCCCAAGGGAACCTGAAAACACATAATGAAGATTTTGTCATAGGAAACAGAAAATGGCCAGAATTTAAAAGATGCATAAACAAATATGTACCTGAATTAATTCTATTTTTCTGTCATGAACATAAGGGATAACATCATGGTCACTTTCATTTCGGTATTCAAGAGTTGATATGTGCAAGTTATCAATAATATTCTGGATGGCCTGGTGCTTAGCTGAACGGTGGAATTTTTGTGAGAAAAAATGAAAATTTGTACAACTCGAGCAGCAAATTTTAACTTACATCCTGGCGTTGCAGTTAAAGCTAATATTCTCAGCTGCAATTGGATAGCCATCAACTGCAAAACAAAAGTATCAACTACTATGTTGGATATATAAATAATGCACTATTATCTGTTGATACAACTAAAATTGATCAAGCAATGGAATAAAGGTAGAAAGGCTAGGATTAGAGGAAGAAAACACACCTCACGAACTGCCACACAATATGAATAGTTTCCTAATGCTCGATGAGCCTCATCAATCACCAAACAAACAAGGAATTTTACCGGACATGTGCCTAGAACAAGTCACTCCATTACAACGCTGCAGAAACAGAAGGGAGGAACAAAAGGATATTGTGCATAGGTAGTGGGAAGTGGAAATGTACATATCCCAGGATTAGCCATCTGTAATATATTAAGTTATAGAGAGTTACCAGATTGAATATCTTTCTCCAGCACTTGTGGTGTTACAAAGAAAACTCTTTTACTCTTCCAAAAGAACGCCCTTTTTTTAGGATTTACCTGACCTGTCAGGTCAATCGTCCATTCCTGCAATCAGGTAACCAGCATCTTCTCAAAAAATATATTAACTATTAGTGAAATCAGAGTCCCAATCAAAAACCAAAAACTCATTGAGTCATCCTTTTTTTCTGTTGAAAATCGTCTTACTTGTGGTATTCCAACAATATTATGGCATGCTTCTATCTGCTGAATGACAAGTGGCCGAGAAGGAGCAGCAAAGACTATTTTACCTAGGAAGACCAAAAATAGTAGTTAAGTTCTGTTGAAATACTATTCTAAGCCCCCACATGAGAAATAATACAATGAGGAAAAGAGAAACATCCAAAATTCTGAAATTCATTTCTTCTATATGACCAAGAGTCAAGATAGGAATCAAAAATCAACAAAAAAGAATGGCACATGATCCAAAGAGCATATGCAACTGAGACTTTCACTCATAATTAGTGATCAAGAGTCTTCCTTGAAAGGAAAAGCATTTTATTTATTACCTCCATTTAGCAGGTTAGCTTGATCGTTTGTCCTGATTGATAAAAGCTAGCCATAGAGGATATAGGCAGGAGTTTTAAACACTTGACATGAAGGGCCAGCATATGTTGTTTATATGGTATTAAAATAACATACATTATTTCTTGAATTGAGAGACATGTAGCATCCACAAAAGAAAAATGAAGGCAAACCCAGTAAGCTAAAAAGTGATCTAGTTAATAATTGTTCTTACAATATAAAATAATCAAGCAAACAATAATTGAAATAGAGAATACAAGATGTATATGGTTCAATCAATATGATTTACTTCACAAGAGATATGTAATCTAGATTCACTATGAAAAATAATTTAGAAACTATAAGCATCTTCACTCATGCTCACACCATAAGCTTTATACAAGCCATCTCAGAATAACCAGTCAGCTGACTTGTTTCTGAATAAAAAACAATTTATATGTTGGCTAACAGGAAATAACGCCTAAGGGATATAGTACTTTACTACTATGTGAAAAGGCCATTTTATTGACAACTAAATGAAATGAAGGCACAACGCACTAACAACAATTGGACATCAAAGACTAAATGAAAATATCGTTATACTAAAACAAGTGATCCCGATAATTTCTTTAACAAGTATGACTCAGGTGAGATTTAAAAAAAAGGAAAAAAAGAAAAAGCCGAATTTAAAATGAGCAATGAGAATCTGTTTATCCACCTGCATGCTTTTTAAAAAAAGTACACCATGCTTCTTTTATCTACATCTTTTTTAAATCAAGAAGATTGATGGCTAATTCACCGGAAGGGTTGCAAAAGAAATATTCACTGGTTCAGATGGAAGTTGAGTTTAACGGGTAAAATCACATTGTCTAATGATAATAATAATTACGATAAAACTAAAACCTCCATGAATTTGACCCCTTCTCCTCCACCTAATGGTAGAAGGCCTAGCCATTCAGCTAGGATGGACAATATTTTGACAAAGTCTATTGTGTGACAGCACTAAACAGGGAAAAGCCGGAAAATTATAGACGATAAAGAACTATAATATGTAAAGTAAAAAAGGGTGAATTAGTGCAACAAAATGTAGTCACTGGAATTTGGAAGCAAGGTAATGAGCTTGACATAAATTTGTACCTTCTGGAAACCATCTGAAGTAGTTATACATAACAACTGCAGCAATAAGAGTTTTTCCTAGACCTGTTGGCAGTGCGACTAGTGTGTTTGAAAATAATGCTGTCTTCGTTATAGCGAATTGATAGTCACGGAGAGGAATATTAACTGCTTGAAGATGTCAAAAGAGAAAAAATAAGCATACTGCTTTAACATCATTATTAAAGCCATACGAAGCAAATATTACAGACAAAGGTTGTTCCTCTGAAACTTCAAAGTTTGAAGAGGATTAAAATCGTCTATGCTTAACAATATCCTTTTGGGAGTTCCTCTAACCAACATTATAAATTAAGATCCATAAGGGCAAATACAGAGGATCTCCATTCTGAAGAGATGTTCAAGGAAACTCCCAAAAACCTTAATTATTTGAGGAGCAGAACAACAATTTCAGAAGATTTTTATCAAAAAATAATGTTTGAATATGGAAATGACTAAGCTGTCATTATCTATTCTGCATTCTCATATGCAACATAGCAAAAAGATAAATAAAACACCCAGTTGTATTGGCATTGTAGATAACAGAAACATGATTATCCCACTCAAACTCGAATTTCAAGTAACTGGGGAAATTTTCATCCCAGAGATTTCAAGACAACAATCAAGATAAGTGGGATAACTTACACAAGTCCATTCCCCAAATAATTCATTGCAAGTGGGATAACTTAAACACAAACTGTAATTATCTGTATCAAGACTAATATAATAATTAAAACCAGTAATTGACTAATAATTAATTAAAAAAATAAACCAGCCGTAACGGTGATTTATAAATAAAATCCATAGTGAAATATATAATAACAATATTTGCAAATTCAGCAACTTCATTAATTATTAGTCCATTCTCTCAACATATTCTCAATGATAATAAAAAAAATGAAAAATAACCTGGATATATCCAAGTTTTAGCTGCCTCAGCATCGATGCAAAGAAAAGGCATTTCTGCACCATCCTCAGCACATTCCTCAACCGTCAGATTATCCGTCGGAGATCTTAGGGCCGCCTTTGTAATAAACTTATCGAGCGTAGATTGCTTACAAGGTTGATTCTTCTTACAATCTCTAGTACCCTTCCGGTTTCCGCCTGAAAGATAACTATCCACCAGGGGAGCAAAATGAGAGGAAGAATTCGAGGGTAGTGAAGTCGAGGGGTTTTGATTATTCTGACAAGCCACGTCGATTTCTCTTACAGCCGCTTCCCAATCGAACTCCTGAGACAGAAAGGATAACTTACAAACTCACAATGAATTCGCAATGGCGCATTTTTATAGCGACAGATAGGATGAATTGGACTTACATCGTCCTCACCGATGACTTCAATAGGAGAACTGCATGCCATGGCAAGTAGGGCGTTGAACTCTAGTTCCGTTCGGATATGGCGAAAGAGAGTTCACCATAAACCCTTTCAGCGAGGTAGAGAACGGAAGATCGGATTTTGGCGGCAAAACAAAAAAAAAAAAAAAAGTTAGAAGAAGAAAAGTGCTGAGCAAGACTTGATTTGGGCCAGTGGCAGTGGCCCAAATTTCTTGGGCGTTTTTTTTTTATGTTTTTATCTACAACTTCAACATTAAATATTATTTTCATATTACATTAAAATATAGAAAATTAATTTTTCTATTTATGATATATTAAAATAACACATTCCAAATTCTTTCCAAAAATAAATTCTAACTTCAATATGATTATGTAGCAAACTAAGTAGGCAGCTTGTAACATAAGTAATCTTTTTGGTATTTGTTAAATTTTTAAAATTTTCAGTATAAAATTATAACTATTTTTAATTTATTAAAAATAATTTTACTTTTTATTATTAAAATATTTTGTATTTTACTCGTTTAATTATAAAAATATTTTTTATATTTTTATTGGATTTCATTTTTACTAAACGGATTTCGCACGTGCGACTGGAGCAGGAAAAAGCGCCCACGTGTTATCGGTAAAAAAATACCCTACCAGTCGTCAAGAAAAATAAGCAACCATCCCCACAGAGCTCCCCGACGGCATACGAGAGAAAGCGAGAGGTGTATTGCGATTTCCATTTTTCCGCCCAACAGGGAGACAATGGCGTTGAACAGTGGTATCAGATCTGCCTCAAAGCTGATAACCTCTTCAGAATCACTCATATCGAGATCAGGTTTGCTTTTACTACTGACTCCTCTCAGTTTACCCCTCGCACCCACCCCTCCCCAATTTTTTTAGGGTTTGTTTGTTTCTGAAGATGGGAAAATCGACCAAATTAGTAATGTGGGGAGTAATCTTATTGTTCTTTAGCTCATTATAGAGGGCTCTGATTTGCTTATATAGATCTGACTGGGAGAATTATTTGATGAGTTGGATGGTTATTTTCTTTTATACCAAACTGATAGAGTCTTCTTTTTTAAATAAATTGGGTGGCCTTTGGGTATAATCGGAATCTGAGAGGCGATTCTATGATGTTTCTTGTGCACTCTATGGCGATCCTAACTTGAACCGCAGGATTGAAATTGTTCCCAAATTATATCTATGATCATGTGATCTTATGGTATTCTTTCTCGCGAGTCTTAATGAATTAGAATCAATAGGCATCTGTCTTGTGCGGTTCGGGCTGAATTATTGCCGATTATTCACTAGGTTCAAGCTGAATGATTGCTGATTATTCACTACAGTCTTAATGCGTATTTTATCATACTAAAGCTGCTTATTGTTCAATTATTAGTCAATTCCTTGTCAAAATTCTGAAATTAGTCTTTGGTATGAATGATTAAAACATAACATGTTGTGATTGAGTTTTGCTTCACTTCAAATTTTTTATTACGAATTGATAGAAATGAATGGGAATTGAACCAACCTTAATCTTATTACATTTTGTTTGAAGTTTATGTAAACCTGGATTATTATATGAAACCATCATGCATAGTCATAGAAGCAATATTTGTTCTATTATTTTTATTTTTTATACCCTGGACCTGTTTGGTTCGATTTGGATCATATCCTCAATATTCTATATGTAAAAAAGATAATTGTTTTCTCTTTGAATTAATTTCGCTCATTACTTGAATTTCTTGAAGATTAACATTTAATTCATAACTAGCAAAAGTAGGCATGAAACTGATCCAAACACAAATAAGAATTATGATACAGATAAGCTAGTAAAGTAAATGAATAGTATAGTAATTGAAGAAAACGGGCTATGAAGATATAAAAAAATCTTGATTTTGCTCTTTTTGTTTAGAGAGAAAAGAGAATATTATCAACGGGCACTGAACGATTGCTGCCTGTCTTATGTTTTGAGCTTTTCACCTTTGTTTCGATGATGTTTGCAATCGTTTATCTGAAGCATATTAGCAGCTTTAAACACCCATGCTCTAATATCTGTGTTTGTTAATAAAAAAAGACATGGTGCTCATTAGATTGTTAAAAATGTCTTTAAGAGTGTAAAGTAGAAGCATCCTCATGCTTAATTTTTAGGTTTTTATTTTTTTGTCCAACTAATTTGCATAATTGCTCTCTTAATGTCTTCTAAAATTAACAATATATGCATAAAACAATTTAAGTAATAATTTGTAATATTATTTTTATTTATTTTTTGTAAAAAGTAACTTCTTGCTTTTTGTAAGCAATTCATTTATCCAAATGTGTAATTGTTTATTTTGTAAAAAAGAATTTAAATCAGAAATGCTAAGAGGTTAGATTCACTCATTATGCTTTGCTGATAACCTTATGATCTTTACCAACTTAAACTACCCTCTTGTTTTAAGCACATTTCTTTCAGCAATTCCAAACACCCTCTGTTTCTTGGGGGTTGGCTGGTTTCATCGCTTTGTGCCGGCTTCTCTCAATTAAGATTTTTGAGATTCCCTTTCCAGTTTATGTAAGATAAGTCTCGGTGTAGTAATCTGCCTCTTTAGGATGGGGCAAGTTAGTTCGTGGAGCACTGGAAGCCCTTATGTGGTTCTTCTCATTAGTTATTTCTTAGGAAGAAGCTTGTGGTGCTATCCAATTTTTGTACTAATCATGTACTTTTGAGTTTCCCGTGTCTTGACTCTTGTTAAAAACCTGAAACAGACATCACTTGTTCATATTTAAATTATGTGTTAAGACACGTGAGCTTAAGATTCTTTTTTGTTGTACCTCATCAGTAACGTCTCAGTTTTGTGATTAAGCAGCAGTTAAGTTAACAAAATTGCTGCCTTATGTGGCATAGCCATATGAATTTGAATGTAGAAGACCTCGGCTTTTGTAAGGGAAGGGACATGACTAATGGGCTAAAATAGGCTCATGTTTAAATCTCAGCTCTTTTCTGCATGTGGAGGAGAAAATATAAGATGGTAACTGGTAGGCACAGTGCATATTCAGCTATTTTAAATTGTAAAATGGTGATAATTGAGAATGTGGCTGGTGGATTCTTCCTAGTGATTAGCCTGTGAATTTTTTTTTTCTTTAAGCTGCTTGTAAGCAACACCTCAAAATTGTAGGCTGGGAACAAATATTATTGAGAATGTCTTCTCTTCACTCGAAATTCGGATTGTTTATTTGTCTCGGTTATCATAGATTATGCTACTTATGATTCTAAGATTTATGAACTTAACAAAGATAGAAATAAACATTCTTCTGTGACAGTGACCAGAGAGTTTCATTCCACTGGAGTGAAGAGAATGGGGGGAGGACACGGACATGATGAACCATACTACCTCCACGCAAAGCACATGTACAACTTGGATAGAATGAAGTATCAGGGGTTGAAGATGTCTCTTGCTGTTTTCACAGCCTTCAGCATAGGTGTTGCAGTTCCTGTCTATGCTGTCATTTTCCAGCAAAAAAAGGCGGCATCTTCTTAAGCAAAGCAATGAAACGCAGCTCCTGAGTTTCAATAATAGAAAAACTTTGAATTACTCAAAACTGCTGCCCTGAGTTCTGATTTGGTGACAATTTCACATATTTAAATTTCATTTCTTTCCGTCAGCTTTTTTAAATTGTTGGTATAATCTTGGAAAATAGGGTTTCTAGTTCAATGCATTCAATAATAACACTTCCCTGTTTGGATCTAAAGTTGGTATGTTGTACTTGTATTCATTTAACATTTTTGCAATAGGGATGGTGTTGGGAATTGTCTGATTTTCAGTACTTGCCAAAGTTACACATATATTGGTGTTGTTTATTCTATAAAGGGAAATCCTGGTGTTGAGAGATGTATTCCGGTTTCACCTTTTTTCTCAATTCTCAATGCTGATGTACCAAGTACCGAGTAGCCAGATTACTTGCCTAGTGGTTTATTGACACAGGAATAGTTTCTGAAGTTCTTACTCTATATTCACCAGACTCTTCTCTTTTCTGGTTTATTGACACAGTGAGTTGGCCAGGCGAGAGAGAGGCTGACAGTGGTTCTTCTGGGGGGGAATACTGAAATTGAGTCAATGAGGCTGTGTTGTGTACAGGGGAGAAAGCTTATTTGGGGGTGGGAGAGGGGGAACAGAGAAGTACGGATTACTGAGTAGTGAAGATTGGGAATTCAATTGTATAAGTAAATTTTATTTAACCCACTGCATCTGCCAGAAATATGAGCTGAAACCGGGCTGCAAACGATGCTTTTGCGTTGAGCCATTCAATTCTTATCTCAACTGTTGTACATTTATGCAGTGAAATTACAGGAATGCCCGTTTCTATTTTTTTGGAGGAGTCGGATTTAAAGGAGAGATTGTTTTTTTTTTTTTTTTTTTTTTTTTTTTTTATTAAAGTACTTTCTCTATCTCTTTGAAGGCAGAGAACTGGTGGAAATTTTAACATATAATCTCTGGATTAATTCAAACAAATAGGTTTTGTTTGATATTTAAAAATATATTTTTGAAGTTATAAAATTTTTTTATAGTAGTCAGACCCCTCAACATGTTAGAAAAATATATATTCAATATTTACATATAAAATATATTTCTGGACTTTTTTAAGTTTAATTGCTTTCTCTGCCCATCCCAGTTCAAACATAAAGTTATTACTACATATCCCATAAAGAATTAAACTCAAAATCGCCATATACGTTTTTATGTAATTTAAGAAAATAAGAAATTTTCATTAACGTCAGGATTTAGAGTGATTAATAAATAAATTATAATTTCATACGTGTATATAATATATATTATTAGAATATGGGATGGTAAGAGTGGTTTGACTGAGGTGGTATGATCCTGAAATGGAAGCACGTGAACAGCAATATGTAGATAAAAATTATATTTGTTCCAAAGTAAATTTGAAAGTTGGTAGTGGAATATAAGATTAATTAATTAATTAATTTTTGGAGATGAGTCATGATTTCTAGATATGTCGGCTGTAATCATGTTTTATGGATAAGATTAATTGCATACCATATGTTAAGGCTAACAATAATTGTGCACAACTTTTCTTTTCTTGGTTTTTTTTCTTTTTATTTCTTTTCCGTGTATGTATATATATATATATATATGAACACACACACACACACACACACCCATATATATCATTTGTATATGTAATATGTAAAGTATTGATTCAATACCCGCATTCAATCAAATTGTGCGTGTATACGTATTTTGGGTTCTGAGTGCTTAAAATCATTATTATCATAGTTTTGAATAAGAATTATTTTAGCCGTAAATTTATTAATTTACAACACACGGAGACATCTATGGTGGGGAGCCTTCTACTCTAAATCACTTTTTAAAAAATTATTTAATTAATGATAGTATAAAATACCCATATTTAATTCTTTATTTTTTATTTAACTCAAAATTTGAATAGTTTGTAAAGTATAAAATATTCATTTATCCAGGCTTAATTATTTTATAAAAATTTATTTTTTAGGATAAGATTTTTAAAAAAAAAAAAAAAAAAAAAAAAACTCGAGAATCTCCATATAATTAATTTCCTTTATTTGTAATGGTAACTAGGGATGCATGTTCAAGTGGACAGATTGATTAAAGCAATAATTAATTGTGTTTAGTTTAACTAATCCAAAAATTAAATATAGAGATATTGAAAACATGTGGTAGTAGTGTACACAAAAGGATATGTACCTATCCAGCTTGCTCTACCCTTTTTGAGAAGGTTCCTGCTTTTCTACCCGATGGAGAATAATTTTATATTTGTAACCAATCACAAATTTTTAATAATTATCTTCCTCTTCTCCAACTTTTTTTCTTTTTTCTTTTTTCCCCAAATATCTTCTTTTGCTTTATTGTTTGTCTTCCATTTTTCCACCCCTTGTTATTATTGCCTTATTTAAACGACGTCATTTCACAAATAATCCAGTCTCTTAAAGAAATTTCGTTTTATGTTTTCTCTATCTATCCATCTATGTACACATACATGTGCTCACCATCTATGCAGTGTAATTAATTAATTTATTACTCCTGGGAATATAATTAGTGAAATTAATTAATCCATTTCTGAGTAATTAAAGAAAATACAGTTAATTCAAAATCAACCAATCATAGAACCCTAACAATGGAAAAAAAAAACAACATTTACGCTAGAAAGTAAAAAAACAAACAAACAAATCCCAATAATTAATTAAACAAGAACAGAAAATTGATAATTAAGATATTATTCTTCAGTTATATTTATTATTATTGAGAACCTGTAGGGTTTTCATCATCATCTCCACTATCACTAGCTTGAGTCTGGTTTTCATGTTGTTGTTGATGATGATGATGATGATGATGTTGTTGTTGCTGGTGCTGCTCCAAATTCATGGCCAACCCGACCCGACTGCCGCCATAACCACCAACACCACCGCCCAGTATGCCCATGTTACTTTCTGTAACTCCCAGCCCCAGTTGCTGACCTCCCATTGGCTGCTGCACTAGCATCGATCCGAATTGAACCGGGCTCATCCTTCCTCCGCCAGAGTAATGACCAGGAAAAGTCCACATCCCCGGTTCCCCCACCGTCGTCGAGCTTCCCCCGCCGCCACTCACCGGAAGCATCCAGAACGCGTTCCCGCCATTTGTCGTCGCCGGTGCAACTGCCCACATAGCGGGAGTGGGTAAAATGTTCGAGGCTCGAACGGAACCGGGTTCTCGTTCTTGAACCGATCCGGTTCTCCCCGTCGATTTAGCTGCTCCCGGAGAATTTTCAGCGGCGGGATCGCCGTGCTGTTGAGGGGATTGTTCTTTGAAAAGATCTTCTCTGTAGGGCCTGGTCAAGCTAGAAGAAGTGGTGTCGCTGGCATTGTTGATTCTCATAGAAGCTGCATCGGAGCTCAGGATTTGAGGGTAAAGCTGGTGAGGATGGAAACCTAGCATGGTAGCAGGTGAGTTCAGAAACTTCCGAGCTTGATTCTCGGCCGACGATCCATTCCCGTCGTACAAAGAGAGAGAAGCGCTGTGAAACGACAGAGGAGCGGATTTGGAAGGAGGAGCAGAGATGTTTGCGCCGCTGCTTCTTAAAGAGACGTTAAGAGTAGAAAAGTTGGCCGGAATCGTGCCGGTGCCGGTAGCAGCGATGATGGCAGGTTCAGCTTGTTGGAGGAGCCACTCGATGGTTTCGCCGTCGGATTTATGACCCAACTCCCGGGTGAGCTGAAAGACTCTAGCGGCGCAGATAGCCGGCATCCGGATGCGGCGGCCGCGGCCATCGACTTTGGTGTGGCGGTCCTTGGAAGGTCGTTTAGCGGCGGTTTTAACAGTAGTGGTGGAGAGAGTTGTAGCAGAAGTTGATGAAGAAGAGGAAGAAGAAGAAGAAGTAGTAGCAGAGAGGTGTTGGTTAGAGATGGAGCCCATGAAGGAGACATGAGCTGGGGCCTGACTAGACCCATGTGCTGCCGGTTGGGTGTCAAGAGAAACGAGTTGCAGGGAAGAAGCTCCTTCCTGTTTTTGGCTTTGGATGAGACCTTGATGATGATGACGACGACGATGATCTTGAGTATTATCCATTATTATCAGCTTGAATAATCGGCAAAACAAAAATTAACAAACCTCCATCGACATCATCATCTTCTTTGTATCATCATCTGGGTCCTTCTCGGATTATAATTAAAGGCAAAAACGATATCTGGGCGTGATTTTTTCTTTTTTGTGTTTGGACAGAGAGACAGGAAGGAAAAGAAAAAGTAGGGTTTGTGAGATTTGTTGTAAGGAGAAGAAGAGTTGTGATGGTAGTGCGTGGGGATCTTTTATTTTTTTTTATTTTTGGTGAAGTGAATTGACTGGTGTCGTCTGGGAAGACGAAGAGAGAGAGAAGGGATGGAGTCGTAAATTTGGAGGGTACCCCACACGTGTGGGCCTATTTAAAGAATGTTAATTGGATGGGAGTCCCATCAAGAATCATTTAATTTATACGTGGGTATATATATATATATATATATATGTATGTATATATCTTTGCGCTGTCCAATTAATTTTGACAGATTTTTTTGTTTGTGTTTTTTTTTTTTTTTTTTTTTTTTTTTACTGTTTTAGAAAAGTAAACTACGAATGTGAGAAAAGTTACAGTTTCGCTTTTGTAGTTGACCTTGCTGTATTCGACAATTTCTAATCTTTTTATAATTTAATAACTGTGTAAAAAAAATTAAAAAAAAAAAAACTCATTATAATATATTAAATTACAAAGGAGTAATTTTATTTATTTACATATTTTTTTATTAATTAAAAAAATGTATAGTTGATTGGAAGTGGAGGATGGTGGTGCAGGGGTTGGACTTTTTGGTGTGAAATGTTGAAAATTACTTGAAAGATTTCAATAATTATTTATATATATTATAATTATAATTATAAAAAATAATTATATATATGTATACATATGTAGTTTTGGCATTTAGCAATCCACTGATTGATTAAGACGATAATGATGATGCTAATCAACTCCGACAGAGCAGCTCCTCTCTTTCTCGCTCACTCAATAGTTGACGTGATTAATTTTATTATTTTACAAAATTTAATATGAATACATTAAAAAAAAAAAACAAACCAACAATTTACTCTTCTTGTTTGGTGGGGTTGAATGGGTTTATTATTATTATTTTTAATAATACATCCTAATTGTAATCAATGCATATAAGTTACCATCAAACACTCAATTACCATTTTTTATTTGTTTAATAATTAAAATTGTAATAAATCTTTGAACTCATAAATCACTTTCACTCATGAGTAAATTACAATACTAATTTTTATTTCTATTTTATACCACTTTAAAAAATTTAATCTTAAATATATGTTGGTATTTTATCTACTATAATTTAACAATCCACAACTTTTTAAATAATAATAAATAATTAT